TCAATGAATATGTCTGCGTGATTTTAGAGATTTAAGTAGTGTAAGCACATCAGCGCTTATACCTTGGTCTCTGTTGCTCCCTTACTCAAACTGAGACACATTGCTATGCAGCTTCGATATTAAACAATAGGTTGGCAAAATGTAAGTTTTTGTCTATACTGTTCTGATACAACTTTTGGCTGATCTATATTTATTATTTTAGCATTGAAAAATGTTACAAATGAAATGAATCCTATTTATTGTCATGCATTACTGTGTTTTATCTGACTATAATATAATTCACATGCCCAAAATTGCATTTTCCAACAAAAGATATGGAAAAAATGACAAAGATTTGATCAACCTGAACACTTTTATTGACTAGAGAGGGAAATAAGATGCAAAGTACATATAATAAAAGAGAAAATTAGGCAAAATTTATGAAAATAATTTAGAAACACTCTCTAAAAGATGAAGAAAGGAAAAATTTTGAGCCAAAGTTTGCTTCTTGAAGAAAGATGACATTTAAATAAAGATTTAATGAATGAGTTGGAGTTTTGAATGGAGATGGGGAATAACTGTAGTTTTCCAAGCAGAATGAAGAGTGAGCTAGAGATGGAGACACATAGAGGGTGGTTCAGTGGTGGTCCAGGTTAAGGACCACCTGGTGAAGTAGGAAATGGAGAGATGCAGATAGCCTAGCTTGATATTTAAAGATCCCAGAGATTTATGACTGATAGGAAAGACTGACATTTCCAGAATTTTTCAATTTGCTTACTGAACGAACACTACTCAAGCCATATTATGTAGCAAACAATCAATCTTTTCATGTCCCCATGATGTAATCTTAAAATAATTTTAGTACATAAGTGTGTTCCTTATTCCATTTTATAGATATAGGAAAAATAAAGAATGAAAATGGCTGATAAAACTTGAAAGGTATTAATAGAATACCTTTCTTGAGTCAAGTGTCCAATGTTCTTTCTGTGCAGGAAGCCCAGCATGACTGTAGAGAGTAGGAAATAGAGGAACATAAAATGAATAGTGGAAACACTATTGTTTCTACAGTCCTTTGAAAACCCAAAAGAAAGGTAATGGGGACTTGCAGAGTAAGGTTGACTTGGGTGGTTTCCTGTTTCCTTTTTAGAGTGTTCCCCTCAAAAGCACATAATGAGTAGCTGTGTAGGAAAATATTCCACAAAACTCCCGACAAAGCACCGTCTAGACTTCTGTGAAGAGGAATAGTTGCACACATGTGACTATCTAATTTATATATTTCCTCTTTATCTGCCTCCTCCTCCTTCCTCTCTTTCCCAAGCCCCTCTGTTACCCACCACCTCCTTCTTTCTCCACCCTCATTTCTGTCAGCAGTAGGGCCTAAAGCTACATGGTTCGTGTTTATTATTCTCGATACAATAGTGTAGCATCCTTAATAAAAACCCAAAGACAGATATTGAGTTCAAACTGAATATTGGAAAATCAAAGCAGCCAAACCACCAGAGAGTTCTTACCTCTACCAAGGCTCAGACAAAGGGTCAATCCTGTCCTCAACATCACTGCTGACTGTGATGCTTTCCACCAAGCCTGTCAGACTGCAATGAGTTCTTGTCTCCTCTTGCCTTACATACACCTCTCTCTGCCCAGCCAAATCACTTCTTTCCCCACTTCCCTAGAGCTGGAATTAAAGGCATGTGACTCCTGAGTGCTGGGAGCACCTTCATGTGAATTCTATTTATCTTTTTAGACAGACTCAATCTTGTGTAGCCCAGGGTGGATGTAAATCCTGGAAGTAAAGGTGTGTGCCAACACTCCCTGGCCTCTAGTGTCTAAATTCTGTATTCTGATCTTCAAGCAAGCTTTATTTATTTGAACATAAATAAAAGATCACTATACAATAGTAAGCCCTTATTGAAATAAAGTGATGCATATAGGAATATGAATGACTTTAGGAACTCAGAGGAAAAAAAACCAATGAGTGGATAGGATCAGAGAGGAAGAAGGGAAAGGAGGAAATAAAAAAATCAATGTGTATTTCAAAATACTGTATCATAGGGTCTGGGAATAGAAAAGGGACTCACTAAGAAAAAAATGCACATTTTTTTTTTTTGCAAAAGCATGAGGATTTTTATTAATTCTGTCATGACAGCGTCCCCCAGCATTCGGGAAGCTGAGAGACCTCGAATAGCTGGTACAGTCTACTTTTTTTTAAAAAAAATTATTTATTTCTTTATTAATTAATTAAAGATTTCTGTCTCTTCCCCCACCGCCGCCTCACCTTTCCCTCCTCCTCTCCCAATCAAGTCCCCCTCCCTCCCTCGTCACCCAAAGAGCAATCAGGGTTCCCTGCCCTGTGGGAAGTCCAAGGACCACCCACCTCCATCCAGGTCTAGTAAGGTGAGCATCCAAACTGCCTAGGCTCCCACAAAACCAATTGGTGCAGTAGGATCAAAAACCCATTGCCATTGTTCTTGAGGTCTCAGTAGTCCTCATTGTCTGCTATGTTCAGCGAGACCGGTTTTAACCCAGGCTTTTTCAGACCCAGGCCAGCTGGCCTTGGTGAGTTCCCGATAGGACATCCCCATTGTCTCAGTGTGTGGGTGCCCCCGTCGAGGTCCTGAGTTCCTTGCTCGTGCTCTCTCTCCTGGTGCACATTTAAAGGCTTTGTTTTATAGCATTCAACAATAAATTCAACAAATTCCATGTATTTTGGCAACACCTTTTTTTTTTAATTGAAAATAGAGTATTGTTTCCCTCACTCCACTTGGTCTAGCTCCTCCCAACCCTGACTCCCTCGCCATTTCCTTTACAGAAAAGAGCAGGCCTCCAAAGATGACTGCCCAACAAGACAGAATAAGGACATAGCCCTTATACCAAGACTGGATAGCGTCCCAATAGGAGGATAAGACAGAAGAGTCAGTGCAGACGAAAGAGTCAGGGATACACCTGCTCCCACATTTAGGAGTCCCACAAGGAAAGGATAGCAGTCATAACGTATACACAGAAGACCGGGTACAGATTCATGCAGGCCCAGTGCATTCTGGAGTGTCTGTGACCCCATGTAAACACTGCTTAGTTGATTCTGTGGGCCATGTTCTCCTGCTGTCTCCAGCCCTCTGACTTCTACCTTTTTTTCGTTCTTCTTCCTCAGGGTTTCCACAGTCTCTGGGTGAAGGGACCCAATGGATAGCTCCAATATTCATTCTCTCTCTCTCTCTCTCTCTCTCTCTCTCTCTCTCTCTCTCTCTCTCTCTCTCTTCTCCACAATGTCTGGCTGTGGGTCTCAGCATCTACTCCCATATGCTGTAACGCTGTAGGAGGAAGTGTCATTGATGATGACCAGAAAAGGGACCAATCTATGAGAATAGCAGAATATCATTAGAATCATTTCTTTGACATTTGAAAAGGACCATTCATTCATGTTTGGTTCTACCCTAGTTCTCTGGGCTATCCAGTCTCTGGTTCCTGGCCATCAAAGCAGTGTCAAACATGGGCTCCCTCTTGTAGAGCAGTCCTCAAGTTGAGGGACAACATCCTCTTTTTAGTGTTTACTTAAATCTTATTACATCTTGTTATGCCATATTTGCCTGATACTCTGGGAAGACTGGTCTTTTCTGACGGGAAAAATAGGAGGCAAGGATCTGGAGCTAGGGAAGCTGGTATGAGTGGAGGGAGGCAAAACTGCAGTCAGGACGTATTGAAAACAACACAAAACAAAATAATGTTTAAGACTTGCTAGAATTAGAATTAACTAAAACTGAGTTTAGTTTTCCAGAGGTGACTTTTTGTTTTTTAGTTTTTTTGTTTTGTTTTGTTGTTTGTTTGGGTAAACCTAAAATAAGATTTTCATGATTGTTTCCATTATAATTATAGTCCTGGATAACCACCGACTGCGTTATTTTATTATTACCCATTGGCCATTGTTCCCTCCCCCATCCCTTCTCCTTCTCTCCTTCCCTGTAACCTTCTTTTCATCCATCTTTCTTCCCTTCTCTTAGATTAACATCAAACAACTTACAAAGAATAGTACATACCAAAGAAATGATTAAAGCCAAATCTTATTCATCATGACGAGTGTAAACAATCTAAACTACGGCTCTTTTTTTCACCCTAATAGTTGGTTTAGTAGTCAAAAAGTATTGAAATTAATTGTGCCAGTTTTCTAAGAGAATAAAGTTCTCTTGTAAATCTATTGGAAAAAAGGATATGAGTTCTCAACCAATAAATCAGTAATCATGCCAATAAGGAAAGAAGAGAATATATTCCTGAATATACTGTAAAGATGGGAGTATTGATAAAACGAGCAGTGAGCAGTTCTGGCTAGTTAGTACCAATGTGTTCGTATCCTCCTACAAGTGAGAAGTTCTGAGTGTATTTCCAAATCTAAGGATTAAGGAAACGTTTGCTATGTTGGGAGAATTGAGAATATTTCTTCATGGAATTGACAGCATATAGCATATTTATTCCCTTATGTTTTTTTTTTTTCAGAATTACAAGCAACGCCTTGTAAATGTATATTACTCATTAGTTTATGAAGTAAGAACTCATGCTTTCACTTCAATAATTCTACCTTAAAAATCATGGGAGCGGTAACAGTAACATGGTCACATAATGAAATGTAGTGCAAATAAAAGTTCTGCCCTGTTCCTTAGTAACATACGGAGGACTTGTCTATAGCAACCATTCTAAAAATATCCCCCATGGAAAGGAAATGTAATAATCTGAAATTCAAGAAATGTCTCATACAAAATGAAAAATGATTTCAAGGCTGTGCAGTTGGAGAATTGGCTCTCAGTGATGCATAATGTGCTCAGGATTTAACTGTTTCACAGTTCTGTGACCTTCAATAGAATAACATCCGTAATAATTACAATAGCTGCAATATGAATACACAATCAATGCCCATCAGACACCAGAGCTCAGCAAAGCTCTTGTTTCTCCCATGCACACACATTGGTGAAAGAGGCATCCCAAGGCTTCATATTTATTTTTCTAAAATGATGTTAATTTCTTATTTATTTCAGGCATTACTAGAGACTCAAAATTTACTGCGCACTCAGGTTGCAAATTTTACCTTCAACCTTGGATTTTCAGGGAAGTTTTACCACACAGGTAAGAAGTAGCTTTGTGTTCTCAGGCAGTTACATATAAACAGGATATAGACTTTTACATGTTCTATAAGTAGTAGAAATGGGATGTCTATATTGATTATGGGGGTTGGGGAACTTGGGTTCACTGTATGAGTAGCTAGATCCAAACGTCAGAGAGTTTGTTTACTTGGGAAAAACTTGTAAAATAAAAGACAAAAGAGAAATAGCATTGACATAAGGACTCTGTAAGAGGAAGCACTGTCATTGTGCCAAACATAACTATGCATCCCTTTGTTTGTGTCACATAAGCGAAACACAGTATAGAAACAATGATGACAACAACGACATTAACAGATAAACAGAATTGGGCAGCATTTTTAACCATTAAATGCTGGAGTTGATAGATACTTTGGCATACATTATTTTAATGGGATATGTATTCTATAGGCTTAAAGAAATGCAATAGACCCTAAAGGTTATCATCTTATTAATTTACCTTCCTGTTGATAATTTTACCTAAAATTATTTTTGCTTACTACAGCTGATATCCATTAAAAATCCTTGCAGTCATGCATTTTCCCCACCTCTGTCCGGTTATCTTTTCGTTTATTCCCAGACCCTCAGCAGACTCTCAAAACATGCCTGGTATTTATATACTTTATGTGATTCTGTGTCTTACTTCTTTGCCCATTCAGATTTTGACTTTCATCTTAAGAATTATTAGTATTGCATTATATTACATTAAAGTATGCAGGTACTATGTTTATAAAATATTTTGTCTTACCCTGATGGAGAAGCAGTAGTAAAGTATGAATTAGGGCCTCTGTAAAGAGCACAGTCAAGATCTGTATCTATGTGTGCATTTTGACTGTGAGCCAAATGCTTTGTTTAAGGTGTTCAGTTGTGGGAAACATATCTTAGTCATCACTTACTCAGCTTAGGGACTCATACAATATCCAATGCGAAGGCAGTCTGCAACCATCCTATGTGCAGCACATTTACTCAAGGAGACTGTCTAATGCAGAGTTCAGCATGGTTCATTAAGACAGTGAAGGAGAAATGCCTTGCTGGTATTTTTCCTGATGTCTGTTGGTGTTTTTCTCCTTGGAAATATTTAAATTTGCTTAAAGAAGGGAAGTTAGTGCTTAGCTAGTTGGTAAATCAAATGATTGTATATTTAAAGGCCATTTGAAGAGAGATTGGGTCATCATCTCTGCACAGGCAAGGCAATTCTACCTTACAATTTTGAAAATCGTCATGATTTTGTAAATCTCCTTCGAAAGCTTCCTTAAGAAATGAGTTCAGCCCTAAGACGCTCTGACTATGAAGTTATAAAGCAGATAACCGTAAAAGCCGTGTCTGCTCATGCAGGGGAATAAAGCTATGAGATTATTTGAGGTTCATACACAAACAGTACAATTTTGCCTTAAACGCCCTCATAGTGAAGCAAATCCATTCTCTTGGCTATCTAGATAGCCACCTCGGTGTTTATTTCCTTCTTAGACATATTAAACCTGCCAGACAAGTTCAGAGTCAGTGTTGATAGAAGTTATGGTATTTTCTATTTCTTTGTTATTATCCTAGGCCTGTGTACAGTACACATCCATTAGGAAATACACAAGACAGTTTCGTTAGTTTTGTTAATATTTCAAAAATAGTTATTACTATTCACACCCAAGACACATCTTAATTATATCTTTGAAGCAGACTTCATTGACTCTGAAATTGGAACTAGCCTAGTAAAGAAAGAGAGAGAGAGAGAGAGAGAGAGAGAGAGAGAGAGAGAGAGAGAGAGAGGATGGAAGAAGCGTTCCATAATATGAAGCAATGGTAATAGCTTACTTAGCAAAGAAGACATATGTACATATAAACACATAAATCCTAAGAATTTAATTTTCTTCACATAAATATATAACTTCTATTTAACTGCTCTGTTGTATTGTCTAAAGGAGTATAGAAAATCATTTTTCAAGTGCGCAATCGTATTCCGTTGAGTTCATATCAATCTATTTGGGCTTCAGACATTTCCTCGAGAGCCAAATGCTGAGATACCCTCTATCATAAAAGCATACCTCATCTCTGTCTAGTCACAATTCTATCTGGAGATTTAACATTATAGAAAAACAGGTCGAAAGCCAAGGAAGTTCATTGCTTCTGTGTGCTTGTGGCTGTGATGTGTGACTGTTTTCTCCTAGGATGGTCTGATTTCCCAGTAAGTAAGGATGCTGATTGATAAGTCCCATTATTCTGAAGACATTTAATCTCATGTTTCTCGTGTCGTGGTGACTACTGCTGCATGGGTTAGCCGCCTCATTTGTTTGTATGTGTCATGTGTTCTTTCCTATCCACTTCTCTGACCTTCACGTTAAAGCCAATCTCACCCCAAAATGACATATTACTAAATCTCCCCGAAGAGTCATTCATCCACAGGTGGCAGATTGAAAGAGGAACATAGAGTGTTGATTAAAAAGAAAAAAAATAATAATAAAAGTAGGGAATTTAGAATAATTTTTTTTTAGTCTGAAAGTACTTACATCTTGATTGAAAATGGATCATAAAAGCTCCACGGAATAAAAACCCCACAGCTGAGGCCACCTGCTGGTAATGCTGTACACTTTATTTTTCACTGGACATGATTTCTAGTGAGAATTATTGCTGTTATTATAATTTAATAATCAATTAGTCATAGTCAAATCAGTAATTGTCATGAATAATGTTTGGAAATTAGTTAAAATTGTTTTCCCAGGTTGTTACTTTTAGTCTCTACAAATTAACTTAATTAAAAAAATGTGTTAACATCAAAGATGAAAGGAGGGAAATTGCTATTCTAGCTTTGTGATTTTCTTTACTCTTCTTTGTACATTGCAGTTTTAAATACCAGATGTTAGAGACCAATGGGTTCTGTTGAAATAAATCTTTGACATTTTACCAACTATAAAAACATTTGTGCCTTAGTTTCCACATTTACAAATGGTGATTATATTACCTCCCATATGTGAAATTATATGATAATAATTGCTCATTATTAGTAATTATGTATGAGAATAAAGGTCTATGAAATACTAATTTAAATCTGTTTTTGAATTTGAGGATAGTAGGTATCTTTTAATATACATTAATTTTCTAGCAAGAATCACATAGGTGGCTAATATAGGTGATTTATGTTAGATTTCAAACCTGGAACAAATGACTGAGGTGCCTATTTAACAGACCTGTCAGCCAGGTTCTACCTGTATCCATCAGTCCCTACCTCTACATAGTCCTCCTGACTAACATAACCAGGCTTTTATCCTGAACTCTCCCGCCCAGGAAGCTGGGCTATTGTTCCCTGCAAAATCCAACCACTTTGGTTGTCTGCCTTCTTTGTACCTTTGAAGCTCCTGACTGCTGCTACTGATTCGCCTGCTCTTCCCTCCATTTCCCAATCCCCTTTCCTCATATGGTTCAGTCTGGTCATGCCCACTCTGGACACTCCCTGATGTGCCTTCTTCTGATTGTCCATTTCCACACATCTGCAATAAACTTTCTCTTCCACCATACCTCATAGCAGTCATATTTCCTTTTCCTTTTTATTTCTTTTGTTGCTGTTGTTCATTCAGCTACATATTCACCAATAGGAATTCATGCCAGGTATTGAATGAAAACAAAATTAAAAAATATTTCTTTATATTTAGAAATTAGAATATTTCATGTGTAATGAACGTATTTTTGCGCAAAAGAGATAAAGTAGCCAATGGAATGGTTTGACTTTTACTTTCTTCTTACAACTTTACCTTTGCGTCTGTTAATCTATAGTCCAAATTTTGCTGAAAAGCACCATTTATTTTTGGCCTTGCCTGTAGATTAGTAGTAGAACATTCGCCTTGTGTTCATTCCTTAGCAATGAAAAGACAAAATCAAAACCCTTATGTTGACAGATTTAAAGAGCTTTCAGAAGCATGTTATTATCTCAAAGTAATAATCCAGTAAAAATGGTGACAAGAAGCTTAACCTTTTGTGCATTTTATCCTGATGTGAAACATGTGCTCTAGAAAATAGAGATTTTTTTTAAAAAAATATATCATTTTAAAAGGAACAAAACTTACTTTATATTAATGATTCTTTACACATAATTTTGGCTTAGTTTAGAAGTAAAAGGATTAACTGGAATGCAACTAATTTAATATCTTTAACTGGTATCTATATGGTCATTATGAGCTACAAATAACATTTTAGTCTGTAGCTTAGCATAGACGAGTATTGAAGAAGTATGTGCTTTGACTGGCAAAATATAGCATTTTAACACAAAATGGAAATCACTTCAAATTCTACTGTGTCCTACCAGCATGACTTGCTATCATATTTTTCATAAATCTATTTAGAGTGTTAAGGGTCAGCCTCATGTGGTTCGAATTATATGACCAGCATAAAATGAGAAAGGTTGGCAGAAATTAATCTATGATATTTAAAAAGCAGGAAGCTTAAATCTGTCACTTTCAACCTTGCCTAGAGAGTTTGTCAATTAGCATAATCTCTGATATAAAATTGCTGATATTTTATGATCAGCCGTCCAACTGTTTATATCAGTATTCTTCAGATTGAGCAATTGACCTTGTTCCTGGTCAAGGAAGACATCAGTGCCTCCTGCCACACACAATAATGATCAATAGAGCCGAAAGGAAAATACTTTATACTCAGAGAAGAACAGTCTGGTTTTATTTGGGGGGGGGGTAATCATCAGTTCTTTGATTGCTTGTTACATAAGTGACGCCTTCAAATGCATAACTCAGTCTGTTTAATTACAAAGATAAGAAACACCTGTAGCTCAAGTATTTCACTAGTGGAAATGGTAAATGATTCATAGCTTGGATTTCAACTCTTGATGGTCTTAATATACTAATGTAAGACAATGAATTGAGAGTCTGGTGCCAACAGTTTTAGACAACTTCAGGAAATAATAATTGTTGTCTACTTATCTCATTCACAGGATTTCTAAACTTCTAGACTTTTTTTTTTTAACTCTTTTTGATATGAGGCTGTTAAGGTCACTGACTATTTATAGGAAGGCAGAATTAAGTTGTTTTAGTATTCTGTGTTCTTGGAAAGTAGCATGCCCAAGTGCTGCTTAATAGATCTAATGCTTGGCTTTAAAAGGTATGGTCTATGCAGGCTCACCCTTTAAGAATGGGGAAAAATGTGTCGATTAAAAGCCAAGCAGTTCAATATCAGCTGGCTTGATTTTCAGAAGATGCTGGTAGTCTATCGCTTCTATATGGACGTCACAACATGAAGTGCTTCTGTAAATTGATCGCATTGACCCTTTACTAACACCTTATGACAAAAGCATTTGCATCTTTGGTTTAAACCAGGAAAATGAGACGCAGAATTACAACTCCTCAAAATCAAATAGTTAATTTCATAGGAAACAAGGTACTCAGTTCCAGGAACTGAATCCAAACTGCATAACCTACTTAATACTATGTCTTTCCTACTGAGGAAATCTTTTTCATAGGACATGCAAACAACGTTTTAAGAAATATTTAAAATAACGTTGATACACTGTTCCTTAATTGAATAAAAAATGGAAATTTGAACACCCACCTATTAAGTATATTGTGTTAGGAAAGAATAAACTGAACAAATGCACACGAAAAGCCAGAACATTTTTAGATTACTTACATAATTTAGTATTTTGACAATATATAAGAATGTTGTCTGAATAAATTCCGAACATTTTTTAAAGTTGTCTATATATTATTAAATGATATAAAATGCATATAGCTCCATACAGCAAAAGTATTTCTGGATAGTTATAATAAGATGAATTGGAAATATTTTTTTCTGTTTTGTTTTAAGATATAGTTTTGCAGTGCTCTTCATGGGCATTGAGCTGAAAACTGTTTTTATAATGAGAAAGATATACTTATTTCCAACTAATTCTCAAGTAAGATTTCTCTTTCTTTAGAAGTAATTAAAAGATTCATTGTCAAAATTTTATGAAATTATTAGAGGCTATATAAACTTTACTATAAAACATATTAAATTGGAATTTTATGTGTGTAGCATTAACTTGAAATAAAAAGAAGCAAAAGTGCTTACAGAATAATTGTTCAGTTTTAAGGTAAACACCAAAATATTTTAAAGAAGAATCCAAAAGTAGTTCCCACTGGTTTATTCTAAAGGTTGACTTTGTATTTGTTCTGTCTCTATTTTACTTTATTTTTCCTTTATGGGTTACTTGTATTTTCCACATTCCTTCAATAAATTTTTGACCTTTTTATAATCAGAAGAAATTTTAAAAAATTAACAAACTACCAACGTTTTTATACACACATGCATTATGTTTAAGAAAAAAGTAATACCCTCTAATCAAATTCTCCATATACACTAAGAAATCATTGTGAATATAATTATATTTATATACCTTTGTTTTTTATTTTTTTAATTTTATTTATTTATTTTTTTTAGTTTTTCGAGACAGGGTTTCTCTGTAGCTTTGGAGCCTGTCCTGGAACTAGCTCTTGTAGACCAGGCTGGCCTTGAACTCACAGAGATCCGCCTGCCTCTGCCTCCTGAGTGCTGGGATTAAAGGCTTGTGCCACCACCGCCTGGCTACCTTTATTGTTTATTACCAGCATATGCTCACAGTTTTAAACACCACCAGTAGGGAGTAGTCTTAAACTGCCTGTTTGATCCATAGTACCCATCACACCATACTCATGACCCTTGTCTCTGATGTAGCTTAGACTTAACTTATTCTTTTTCTGTTAGAAAATAGCATGAAGAATGAAACAAATCTTACAAAAACAAGGTCATCATTGAAGCCGTTATCACCTCATGTTTTACAGGGACCGAAGAGGAAGACGAAGGGGATGACCTCCTGCTGGGGTCTGTGGATGAGTTCTGGTGGTTTCCTCACATGTGGAGTCACATGCAGCCCCACCTCTTCCACAACGAGTCCTCTTTAGTGGAGCAGATGATTCTCAACAAAGAATTTGCCCTGGTGAGTATATTTGATTGCGGCATTTCCCTCTATGGATTGTGATCTAATAACAACTTCTGTATTGTCTCATTCTTGCACGTACTCAGCGGTTTTCCATTAAGCAGGAAAGTTGTGAAAACAGACCCTACTAGTGCTAATATGTGTCTCTCTTGCCTTCAGGGAAAAGAGTACCTGCCCCTGTTTTAGGTATTATTTTGAGTTCTTTCTTCTTTTAAAACTATAATAAAAGACAGAAATCATGTCCCGAAAAATAGCAGTGAGCATTCTCATGTATGCATAGTGAGGCAGGTTATCACAAAAGTGTCGGAATCCGCTCAATGGTTCTTGGTTCTGGACCCCATCATGACTACCTACAACTCCTCGGATCTGTGTCATTGCACAAACCTTAAGGTTTGAAAGGTCATATTTGGAAGCATAGCCCTCAAATGAATACAATGGATTCCTGTGAAGTTATACCTGCTTCTTTGTTATTATTTAGAAAGAACACCTTATTTTTCTTTCTAAACTTCAAGGACAGAGTCATAACTACATGTAGAGGATCCTGACTCATAAATGTGGAAAACAAAGGTGAGTAAGATGATGAATTAGGGCACCAAAATGCCTAATTGAACTCTTTCCTTCCATGAAGGGCTCCCTGATGTAGTACAAATCACTTAAGCCCTCTGTGTCCTGGTTTCTCTCACACACAAAAGAATGAGGCAAATAGGAAGAATTACCATGTAGTTTTGCTGTGCAGGTGCACACGTAAGTTTCCATCAGAGTTTAACACTCAATAAGCCTTCTATACGTAATGTTTACCCAATTATCTCCTGTCTAAATGCACACAAATATGCAGTCATATGTTGCCTTAAAGAGCTATATGCAAATATTTTCAATGTAGATTAATAAAAGATTTAACCTGTAGGCACAATCTAAAATGTTCTGTAATGACAAGTTGGATTATAAGCATTATAAGTAAATTGGCCGTACTCAAAAACAAACACTCCTCGTTTGGTTACTTTGAGGAGTGTTTGTTTTTGAGTACAGCCCAAACCAAACATGTTTATCACTTTTCTTAAATCTGCCCAACTCTACTACCACTCAGCAGTCTGGCTCTCCATATTTGTAGGTTATATTTCATAATGGCTGACTTCACCTGTTTGAGTAATTTCTCTGTTAGAGCCATGCTGAGAGCTCTGGGAAAGGTTTGGATGTAATTGCTTCATAATGAATTGTTGAAAGCTTTTTAGAGACCATTCAGAGCAATTGCATTTGTTTAGTCAGCAACGCTAGCAGCTATGCTTAAACCAATAAATAAATTTTGTTTAAAAGGGACCTTATTATGTGTTTCAAAGTCCAAATATTACAACCCAAATGAAGTTTGTTAAACACACACATTGCAATAACATTTTACTTTTACCTGAGTTGAGTTATACAAAACTCAAGACGATTGAGCGATGTTATTGGGATCCCTGCCTTCCTGTCAACATGGCCTGACAATAGGGGCGCTATCAGACTCATCAACATTATGCAGATAGTATAGCACAGTCAAAAGTACCAGTGAGATACTGGCAGGCTAAAAATTAGTCCTAACTGCTTGTAACCAGTTCTAATAAAGTTGGCAACTTAGTTAATGTTTTCATGCTTCGCTGTCTTCCCTTGAATGCTAATGGCTGTTTTTCATTCTCTATGCCACAAACTTTCTTTAGATAATTAATTTACATCAACTCATCTGCCAAAGAAAAGCAGTGGACCAGATAATGCCGCTAATCAATTCCAGCTCTTAAATTTGTGAGAACTGAAAACATCAGTCCCAAAAATTTGGATTGAACATCTTGAAATACTCAGCTGGCTGCAACTGTAGCAATTTTGGAAAGAGATTTAAAAACTAAATGATCATTTTTATGCATAAATACCAAATGTACTAAATACTTCCTTTTAAAAAAATGTACTCTGACATTGCTAATCACTCCTGGGTAGGACTGTGTGATAGAAAGATTGTCAGTTTCAAAAGCACAGCTGTTTTCATAACATCTCCAAAAAGTATTCAAATGGAGTAGTAAGACCTTGACACTAATATTTTTAGAAGTAGACTTTAAAACCCAATGAGAATGGCACTATTGATGGGACTTTCTGAAATCTCTCTAGATATAGTTCATTTCCTCTAAAAACATGTTTAAAGATCACGAGAAGAATACATTAAATAAGTGTTTATTTTTTCTTTCAGTATTCGGCAAGAAGCTTTATTAATATAAAGCTTTATCATTGTTTAAGCTATGCACACTTACATAATCAGTTTGTCTGGGGTTAGAGTGTAGGGGGCATGTGTATTTAATCCATGAATAAAATTAACTGTACTACACATGAATATACATGCTTACTATTTGTACCCAATTCATGTGTGTAGTTAAATGTTTGCATAGATGTTAGTAAATTGATCAGGATAGCAAGACATGGTAGTGACAATGTACTTTATATGGTGTGACAGAAAAATGGAGAGAAATGTTTTTAAGTTCCTTTCTGCAATAAATCATAGATCTTTACTACTACTCAATCGCTTGTGCATTTCAATAAACAAAAGCAAACTTTCAAAGATGACAACAGAGGCTGAAGAAAACCAGAGACACTGGGAAATATGAAAGTAACTAATGAAAAAGTGAGCAAAAATCATCTCTAATTTAACCTGCATCTCCATTCCAATGACAGAGGAAAAGAATGCCTATAGCATAAGCCTGAATTATTTATTTTTATTCCACAATAGACTTACGGAGGGGAAGAGAGTTTTGTTGTTTTAAGTTTAACATGCACACCCATTAAAGTTTCTAAGCCAGTGGGGCTTTTCAGTCTGCTGATTATTTCAGATGAGAAAACATCCTGAAGGAAGGAAAAAGTAAGAGGCGTTTCTTAAAGCTAATGGTTTTAAGTTCTGCTGTTTAAAAGTTAAGCATATTTATGAAATACACATATACATATTTCATAATTAGATCAATAGTCATTAATTATGACATGCAAGCTATTTCCTTTAAAACACAAACCTGGGGCTAATGAATGGCTTAGCAGGTAGTGTGCTTTTTTTGTGTAAACATGAAGACTTAAAACTGGATCTCAAGGACCTACGTATAAAGTAAGACATAAATGAACATCTATAATCCATGTGCTTGGAGGCAGAGACAAGAGGATTACTAGTGCTCATTGGCAAGACAGCCTAGAACATCAGTGAATTATAAGTTCAGTTAAAGACCTTGACTCAAAAACTAATATGGGCAAGAATAGAAGAGGGCACACAATATCATCATCCTTGGCCTTTAGATTAGTATAGACAGGCACATATTCACATACATATGCATACACCAACACACACACACACTACAAACCCACAAAGAGCTATCAAATAGTAACAGTAAAAAAATCTACAACACACTTTATGCTCTACAAGTTATTTAGCTTTCATATGTCAAGGAAATGAGAGTGAAATTATTTGCACAGTATGATAAAGCAGAGCTTCCTGGAATTCTGTATGAAGTACAGCTTTGCTGGATCATACAACATTCAGCCTTCTGCAACTCAACAAATACATGTGTCAAAAAATGCTGTGGATGAGATGGCTTAGACAGTGAAGGTGCTGGTCACCAAGTCTTGGGTAGGTAGTGCTGGACCTCAGTCCAGAGCCACACATGTTAAAGGGGAGAATCAGTCTTCTCAGGTTGACCTCTATTCTCGCCACATATGTTGTAGCAAATGAATGAACACACAGTAGTGCACACACACAGTGATTAAATAACTGTAATTTTTAAATGTTGATTGCAACTAGTATATGTGTAGAATAAGGGATTTAGAAAATATAAGAATATTGTTTCCATAATGGATCAATTTATGCATCTTAGAGAATAATGAGTAAGTCAGTCTTTTCAAATTGAGAAGACTGCACACACAAACACACAAATGACTTAGGTTCAACAATGACAGCTATCAAGCAACCTGAAGCACTGAAGTATAGAGGAAGAAACTAGGTGACGTGTGACAATATGGACTAAGAGGACCTTAGGCTAAATTGGTCAATCAAAGAAAGGAAAATGCTGCATGGATCCCTCACACAAGCATCTATTAAGGTTGAATTCAAAGAGCTGGAGAGTGTGGTGGTTCTTGCTAATGGATGGGGGCCAGGGTAAAACAGGAAGCTGTTAACAAAGGAGCATGACAGTTCAGTCTAGCAAGAGGAATACATCTTATCGTGCCAAGCAAAACTGTGCCTTTAAGCAATGAATTTTAATACACTGCACACTTAAAATGCTGTAAATGAAGTAGATCTTATGTTATATATTTAGCACAATAAATAAGTGAAGATTTTAATAATAAATTGAGCTTCTTTGATATCCTGTGGAACAAATACCCATTTTGAACAAATATTCATGTCTACTCCTTCATAATTGAGTGCACTAGACATCTAAATAAATTACCCAAAACATGAAGATCTAAAATTTTCATTAGCACTGTCGCAGTCTGTGTAGTTCCGAAGGTTATTACTTAATATGATGCTGCAGGTCTATTCTCTTATGAGATGTCGGTCAAGGGTTCAGTTAAAGTGGCAGGCGATCTTGAGACTTGCTTGAAGGTTCGACCACTGCTAAGCTAATGATTGTTTACAAAGTTCAGTTCCTCACAAGGCGGGAGCTTCTTTTTCCCACCAGGTGTTACCTAGCTCTACCTTGATTTTCTGATCACATGAGCGGCTTCAGGAGAAAGTTCACAGCATGACAGTATAGCTCTCCGAGACAGGGAACAAGAGATTTGCAGTCTCCAAGCAGAATCCATATCTGTGACTTTTATCATGAATTGAGCTAGAGGAGCCCGTCACTAGCTCCGTGCTACACACAGTAGACAGAAAATTAAGGACTGGAACAGCAAGAGACAGAGAACGTTTGAAACCACTCTGCTTAATGTCTGTCCCATGCAGCCCCAAGTAATGTAGGGCATCCTATTCAAAGCTGTTATCCTTCGTTGATTTAAAGATATTTGAACAT